TAAACCATGGGCAAGGCCCATATGTGATTGCCCAGACGGATCCCATAAAGGAAAAATATGGGGTAGCCCATAAGACTTTTCCCAGATATTTTGCATATGGGCCCCATGTGGGATTGTTACCTGGGTACCGTTGCAAAAAAACGAAGGATGCATAAACATAGCAAAGGGGTTCGTTATTGGTCTGTCTCTTATACACATCTATTGGTAGTGGAATCCCGGAAGGTTTGTATTAATTAATTTTTTTTCTATTAAAAGTTGGAATGCTAAAATAATTCACGTCAGCTTGAATAGGAAGAGATCACAAATGAATCAACTCCTCATATAAGCATGGAGGAAATATATTAAGATGATAAGGCAGGCTGATATATTTTTTTTTTATAATTAATTTCACTATCTAGTGACGTAATACAGTAGACTATGTACAGTAGTACATAGGGTAGTCCTACACAATTCTTCATAATCCCATCATTCCATTTAAAATTAAATAAAATGTGATGTTTGGTTAAAATATACTTTACTTTACACGTTCTACTATTTAGGCCTACTAGAATAAACAAAAAGTAGGCCTATATTATATTTTCTACATACTGGTCAATTTTATTCAAAAATTATAAAGTTCAGCTCCCGGCTCAGCTAGTCGAAGTTTCGTTTTCATCACATAACAAAACAGTTTGATCATAGTACTCGTACGTTGTCAGCCAGACGCAAGACTTCAAGCCACGTGATGAAAACCAGCTCGTCAACGAGATATGAGGTCTTAGCCTGAGCTAAGCAAGTTGTGATTTTTAATCAAAATAAATTAACATTTGAAAAAAAATGTCTCACATCATCAAAACTGTGTTTGGAATATAGGCCTTTGTCAAAGCTCCCCCTCCTCCTCGGTGCACCGCACATGTGTCCTGTTTTACAACCTTGTGGGCCTACGTAGTTACACTCTGCTTATTTACATTGTACTTTCATATATCTCTAATATTTGATTTTAAATACCCTTTAAAACCGCCAAACTATATTCTTCACATATACATTCACAATCACAATGTTGCCTGTGTTGCACTGCGTATCCAGCGGATTCACTTAAATGATTGGACATATTCAGTGGCGTATCTAAGGGTGTGGGGGGGGGGACGAACTCCCCTCCAAAAAATAATCGACCCCAGTCGATCCCCCTCAAAAAGAAAATCTCGGGTCAGGCCTGTATGCAGCTTCAGCCAATTGGAGGGGGGATTTCAGGGCATGGGGTCCAGGGGCCCGCTTAAGGGCCCCGGTGGGGTCAAGGAGGCGAAGCCCTTGTGGGGGGCCCCTGAAGCATGTATATGGCATATTTATTTAAATACTTGCAGGGTCCTCCTCTAAATAATGATACATTAACTTCTTTTTCAACACAGGATTTCAAGACAGTTGTCAACAACACACAGCAAAAAAACATACAATGTAAATAAGTAAATTTGAACATTAATATTTATTATAACAACAAAAAGAATTTTTATTTCTGCTAACGTCCGCGTGTGTGTCAGGAAATTCCAACAAGCGCGAAAACTCCAATCTCGTTTTCCAGAAACAATTTAATGCCTCGTGATTGGTTAACAGCAGCTTGACAACAAGACCCTCATAAATATTCACGCTTCGCACTCTCTGATGATCACACACTTACTGCACGATCTCTGCTGGGATTTTAAGAAAAATAAAATTCTGAGTTATATACCATTGCAAAAAAACGAAGGATGCATACACATAGCAAAGGGGTTCGTTATTGGTAGGGTGGGGGTTCAGACGAATCCACAGGAACCCCCTCGCTACGGGCCTGCGGGTAGATAAAAATCACCTAAAATTACTCATTTTGCGAGTTAGGGCCCCCACCTAATCGTCGAGCCATCCTCCCCCCTTTTTTTTATTTTTTTATTTCAAGACTCATACACCACTGGACATAATTTAAAATATCTTCATTACAGTACTGGAATGTGTACCGTATTTATTTGTAAAATTGTGCGATTCTTCATTTAAACAAAAACATCGTTTCGTTTTGCATTCAAAACACCGTTTCGTTTTGCATTCATTTATATTCGTCAGTATAGTGTAAATCAGTCTGTATATTATTGTCATACATATAAAAGGAGTATAATATAGACCCTACCAATGATGTATTTCTAGCTATAATAATAAGTCAGTATTCAAATTTGTATCACTATATAAAGATCAATAAGAATATATATACTGTATAACAGCCAAAGTACAGGACGGGGGGGGGGGGGCAATGCCCTAGCAACGTTGTTCGCATGCTGCCAGTCAATGCCCTTTGCAAATCCTCTTCTGCAAGTAAACACCACGTGATTTACATCGCATATCTCCTCTGTGGTAGTGTGACTAGGCCTAGGTCCTCAGCATTACGGAAATTCGACTTCTTATAATCAACAAAATTCCATCCCTCAATATTAATTTCTATGTGTGGAGAAACATTATTAGCTGAATACAAATAAGTTTATCAGTATTATATAATTATTATACCACTGCAATATGTTTTGAATTGTTTAGGCGCCCCAATTAACTTTTTAACAAGGACATTAATAAGGTAGGTAGCCCTGCGGTGCGATAATAGGCCGAGGCCCTAGGCCTTTTTACTTCACTAATCCAGCTGGTCGAGGTGAAGACAGGTACTATGAATGATGATTCGGAAGGCTAAAGTGTGATAATTTTAATACAGAAATAAACGCCAAAATATATGCTTACGAACATTGGTTCGCGCGAGTTATGTTCATTGATATTGAACTTCAGGCCCGTATTTACCAATGTAGTGAGACGGCGATCTGCGGCGATATCCAGCCTAGCTATGTTGTACGAAGCACGCTGCGGGTGCGGTGTAACGCTCCCGATGCGTGTACAAACCCTAGGTTTTGCCTACGCGTAGTAAATGCTACGCATTTACTACGCGTAGACTACGTTAATCCTACGCGTAGCAAAAGTTGCAGTATTTTTTATCTGTACTGTAGCTACTTTCAAAGAAAGTTACTTGAATTGATTGTATTTTTTCTGGGAGGTACACACTAATAAGGGGTAATTTTGCCATGCTGTTTGATAATGTTATCAATAAATGCTGTAGGCATACTGATAGTA